GTTCAATACTTATTTTACCTGCTGTAAATGTTTTTTTTTACTTTAAACAACAAAAACAAAGTGCAAGTCATAAATGAAAAGAAACAGAAAGTAGAAAATATTTTCCCAAAATTAACAAAAATATCAGATCCTTCCCAAACAATTCATGTCAGTTGTATATTTCTTCAACAAACAGGCCTTTATCTTTCTCTGTAATAAACTTTTACAGCTGTTTTAACATMAATCTCATTATTCTAGTCGTATTCCTTGAATTGCAGTTTCCTATTTTTCAAATAACTAGATACCCAGTGTAGTGCTAATCCTCTGACGTCGTATTTATTCAAAGTTGAAAATGTATTTTAAAATAAAGGCAAGGAGGAAAACACTTACCTGTGATAACCTTCAAGTAAGTTTTAATTAAAGTTTTAGGAAACAGTTGCCACTGGTTTTTGATCTCATAAAATTAAGTCATGTTCTACTTTTGAAATTAGATTCAGTGTTTTTTGTTTCCATGTCAGAGGAAGCAGCTGCACTGTGGGGAGGAACGACCACACAAATGTAAATACACTTTTTGTCTGGCTTCCAGCTGAGGGCACAGTGGGTTTTGATAGGCTCTCATTCTTATTTTTCACAATTATTTCTGTCAGATAAGACGAGTGAATTCYCACCACCTTGAATGTATTTAATTTGATCATCTTCAGAATTTGTCATTTAAATCTGAGATTAAATTTAGGATTGAATCTAAAGAGGAAACTAACATTGCAGCCTCACTGAATGACCCAGACAAGTCCAGACAGTTTGTGTCTGTCCTCCTGCTGACCAGGAACACTGAACACTTTTATTAAGTTTTTACAATAAAATTCAATGGCATCATCAAAACACTTTTTTGGTAGCATTTCTTACAAAACCAGTTCTGGCATATTTCTTGATCTCTGCRATGGCCTTTCCTGGGTTGAGACCCTGTAGAGAAGTTTGTTGAACAAACAATAAGACACCAAAACCTTTAAATTTGTGATGAAATGTGCAGATTATTGATGTAAAAGCACCTTGGGGCAAGTCTTCGTACAATTCATGATGGTGTGGCAGCGGTAAACGGAGAAAGGGTCCTGGAGTTTAGCCAAACGCTCCTCAGTGAACTTGTCGCGGGCGTCGATCATCCATCGGTACGCCTGTGGGACGACAAGGATTCAGGGTTTTTCTTATCATTTCAAAATATACGGTTTGCTCTAAAGGTCAATCAYAGCCTTATTATGAGGTTTATTTCATATTTGAATAATTAACATTCTACCTGCATGAGGACAGCAGGTCCCAGGTATTTGTCTCCATTCCACCAGTAGCTGGGACAGCTGGTGCTGCAGCAAACACAAAGGACGCACTCGCAAGCCGTCCTGTCGAGTGAAAACAGGGATTTAAAATCATAGTTTTCTCTCTGCGGCTTTTTATGACTCACTCTCTCAATAGAGGCACAAAATTAAACTAAAAAAGGCACTTAGTTCAGATCTGTTCAGGGGACTGGATCATTTACCAGTTTTATGTCTCATATTGAAYGGAAATACTGCTCCTTCCCCTCCTGGCTTTCGTCCTTCGTTTTCAGGTACGGCTCGATCGATTTGTACAGTGTGTAAAAGTTGCTCATGTCCTGTTGGGAATAATAAGAAGACAAACAGTTTTTACTCATTTAAAGCAGTTGTGATGCTCACATTGATGAAGGTAAAACAATTTAAACTTACAGGCACCAGATCWTTCACCACATACATGGGCGGCAGTGGGTAGATTTTAACGGGTTTGTTGGTGTCGATTCTGTTGAGGCACGCCAGAGTGTTGCCTCCGTTTATGTTCATGGCACACGAGCCACAGATACCTGAAGGAATCCTTACATGTTCAGTACAACGTATATAATAACATTAAAGGGATCCACGATTAGTTGTAACATTAGACTTTATTTAATAAACATATATTTTAACTGTAAAATAAAGACTGTAAAAATACTGTAGGCTGTTTAGTTTTTATTATTTTTAAACTAAAAGTTTAAAAATATATTACACGGATGGGGCCATTTTGTTTGCACACAAAGTATTCTGGGTAAATGGTGACGTGGATAGGTTATCTGTTCGAGGCTGCTAGCGAGCTATATCCACCCTGAAGGTTATAATC